TCGTATAAAAACAATGCACATTTGTGTAATATTACAGTAACTTTCACTGGTACTCTTTAAACTCTTCTAATATTTTTGTTCAGATATGATACCAGTTACAGATCTTTCTATAATGACAAGGTCTGCAAAAGCTGCACATACAAACCCAACAAAAGTAATTACATGTACAAAAGCTATGACCAACCCTACCAATACAAGACAGTTACAAATGCCTTTGCAAGTCCTAGAACAACACCATTTCGGTCACCATCATATTATCCGTCAACACAGCAAGCTTGGGAACAGACATATACTTCCACTGGTGGAGATGACTTTAATACTGGAGTGACAAACCTCAGTTACGTAAAGACAGGGTCAGGTAATGACTATGGGATGAAGAGAACGGTTAAGTTAGAGGACAAGGCAGAGCTACAACGGCTAAATGATAGGTTGTCAGATTATATAGCCAAAGTAAGACAGCTGTGGGAACAACGTGGACAGATCGATTCCTCTGCATTCCTGAAATCAATTAAAATATTGGAAGACGAAGTCGCAAAACTGAAGGATTTATATGAATACGAACTCGCAAACTTAAGGTATTGTAGATTTAAAAATAAGTACGATACAAATTTTTACAATTGGAATTTTTTCTTTTCAACAACAAAAAAGAACAAAAAAGACATCCAAGGGTTCTTCCTATTCTCATTTTTTGTGGTTTTTTTTTTCTATATTGCAAGGGAATTTAAACTTTAAATTTTTAAATTTTATTAAAGTTAAGCACATTTGTTTTCATATTATTAAAAAAAGAAGATACTAAAGGGATAATAGAAACCACAAGTTGGAAGAGAGTAGAAACAAAGGTATTTATACCACTTATACAGAAATGTTCTTGACGAACTAAAACCACTGATTTTGAAATGTCAAATACATAAGTTTGTACTATAAAGAATACTTTTATGTTTTCTTTGCTGAAAAATACCCACTTACAGAGTGATATTGTTAAGCCCTAACGTAATAGATTTATCGATTTATGAAACTCGAATTATATCAAAATGGAATTCAATTTTAAACAGCCATTTAAACCGTTTCAAATCAACTAATGCAATGAGCATGCTATATGATGTATGACTTTAATTGTAAAAGCATGATTTATGTTGAAATATTATATATTCTTAATCGAAATATTTCAAAGCCATACATATAGTATAAAATTTGACGGATATAAAAGAAGAACGAAATATTTACCTTTTGAACATTTGGATTCAATTTGAAACATTTCTAAAGAAAGGTAATTGTAGTAAAAGCAAAACAATTTCCATCTTAATTCCACGATTCGTGAAAGAATCCATTTAAATTCCATGTTTCAAGAAAAAATAATATTAAATATAAATAGTTGAATGAATTAAGTGTTCATGTACCTACTTTTACAGAGGACAACTACAAGGTAGTGTACAAGATAAGAACAGTTTGGAACAACAGTACGGAAGTTTTATTCAAACTTCTAAGGATTTGGAAAAGAGGTAATACAACTGATGACAAAAGAAAAATAAAACTATGTTTTTTATTTATCACCAACCGTTAACATGACTTTCAGCAGTTTTCTTTTCATTTCACTTTCGGTCTTCACACCAAATCAAATTAGTCATACCAAATTAAGTAAAAAAAATTAACGTTATGACTTCCTGTAATTCAGGGAAAGGGTATATAAACATGGTCATCCCTGGACTTCTCCTGTCATGCGGTAAAATCCTTGATATAGAGGGGCACCCTTTTGACTGTGCGGAATGTATAAATGCGTAGCCATGTCCGGTCGGAATGGGGATGTTAAACCCCGTGCCCAATGTTGGGTAAGTGCTCTCTTCACGTAAAAGAGCTCTTGTAACAACTCTCAAAGGGGTCCATAGGTGGACTGTTACAAGGCAAAATGGCTGTATCCAAGATACCCTCATTTTCCAGTTTCAGTCGAAATTTTCCGATCTACCTTGAATAACCTACCTATTGTATTAATTGCTAATTTGTCCTCGTCTTAAATATGCATGAGATATTTGCCACTGGACATTAAGCACACAATAGTCCTTCAATAATTTTTTTTGAAAGATTTTGCGTATGGTAATTTTAGTATCATTTATTTGTTGCCTCAGCCATGGAAATGTTCAATAAATTTTTATCACAAAAATTAAAAAAAATGCATAAAAGTTTGTTATTTGCATTTTAAGTTTTTAACTTTTTTCAGTTTGGAATGTCTTTTCTATAACAATATCCATAATTCATATAAAATTATTCCCGTTCCTGATTTGACTGGAATGAAGTGGCATTATTAGGTAGGAGTTATCAAATTGATTTCGATACGTGAAAAAGGATTGTCGGCTGTATTATCGGTCGTTGTTAGAAGTATGTTGATGGTAAGAGACCTCAAGCGGTCTACAAAATATAACCGGAGTATTGTTCTTTTATGCAGCGAGCTAGTATTTGTTTTAGGGAAAACTATTTTCCATCATTACTTAGTCAAATAACTTGTGACTTCTTGTCCATTCACAGTGATGTTAATATAAAAATTTTGGTTTCATATTTGCAAAAATACATTACGCAACTTGTGTTAAAATTTAAAGTTTTAGTTTAAACATTAATAGTTATTATTACTGGCATACTAATGCGGAGGAATGTTTGTCAATAGAGTTGAATAAATGATACAAGCATAACAATCTGATTAAAACACAGATCCTATGTCCAAGCTTTGTTCTTGGAATTATTTCACCAGCTAATGCAATTTCAGACTTCAAAGTTTTGAATTTTATTCATCTGACAAGACCAGAGGATCCCTAAATGCCTTTGAACACAAAGAAGGAAGAACGGAGCGTTTTCATATCCTTGTAAGCTAAGCTTGGACACGTAATCTGTATTTCAATCAGATTACAACCATAAGTTTCTGTGCGTATTTAATATACTAATATGTTTAGGAAAAGAATCCGTTGAAATAACAAAATAAATTTATCAATACAACAGATTAGCACTAGAAGTTGACAAGAACCGTGAGCTTGTTGGAAATGTCACTAGCTATCAGCAGACAATAAGTTGCCTAGAACAAGAAATAGCTAAACTACGATCGGCACCACAACCACTGGATGAAAGTCCAAGTCTTAGGAAAGAGATAGCAGATCTCAGGAGGGATAAGGAAGATTTCAAAGGGAGGTAATAATTAAGTTAGGTTATTTCTTCGAGTACCATGTCAAATAACTAGTAATATTCCTTTCAAAAGCAGTAAAAATGTATTTGGGGAAATAATTAAAAATTGTAAGACGAAGAAAGACAGACGGCACACAAACTCACTACTTTCACAGATAGATCTGTCTCCTTGGTACATATTTCAAAGTTGTATTTTGATTTTTTTTTACTAAAGTTGTCTTCTTGGTTTGCCTCAGAATAGATTTTACAAAAAATGTACCAGAAAAAAAGACATGTTTTTAGCTAAGTTAGCAAAATAGTTTTTCGTTTTCTAGTTGTTGGTTTTGTTACCTATGATTGATTTGTTAGTTGTTGATTATATTTTTTCCCCGACTGTTAAACGTTGCACTTTCACATTAAAATAAAAGTTTGCGTTTTGGTAAGAGCGATGCTCGACAGTCCATTGATATTTCAACAGGCGGACAATTTGACAATGTTGAAAAGAAAACAAATGTAACAGCCATTCGTCCATTTTTTATAACTTGTTTTTTTTTTGTATATATCATAGTAATACTTGATCACCCATAAGCTAATTTTGGTAAACCTATTGGTCTCACTATCTATCTTCAATGTTTAATACTTCGGAGTTTAAATGATCGAGCACCAATAATGGAATAAACCATTTTCGAAATGCTCATATGGCGTAACAAATTAACTTCGGTACATTATAATCTAAGTTTATTTTGGGACAAAACATAATTGGTATATATTGAAATTTATCGGATGCTAATTAATATTGCAAAGACAATATTTTTTTTAGATGGGAAAGAGAACTACAGACCAGAAAAGACGTAGAGGAAAGATTTGCTGCGTCAACAAAAAAATACGAGTTTGACAACAATGTTCTTAGACAGCATGTTGCTGATCTGAAACAACGGTTAGAGGCTACAACCGCCAATATACTGTCACTTGAGACACGTATTCGTCAACTGAGTAAAACCGATACAAATATCCCAGACATCCTCAGACAAGTAAGACATGCAGCGGAAGATGAATTGAAGAAACACCAGTCGGATATTGAATCCAGATATGGTAAAAGTGTAAGTTTTTATAGACATTTCATTAATAATATATCCTTCGCAATACCAACTATTTTCCGTAGAACAGATGAGTACAGATAAGTTTACGTAATAATAAAGTGGTTAATTAAGTGAAAATACATGTAGTTCAAGCATAAGCCTAACTATCAAATCCTCAACCACGTATGAACTATGGTATATATATATATCTGGTCGTCCATCCGAGCGCATCTTGCGTTAAATCATGGTTTTTATGAACACATTTAACGAAATGTTTATATATAGTTTGTATACAGACAAGCTCAATTTTTAACGATTTATATCAAAATCGTTTTTTGACCGCAAACAATGAAAATTGAAAATTTGCATCTGTCTGGAGGTAACCAGTGCGTTTGTGTCGGTATGCTTTAGAAGGTACATTTTTTGTACATTTTCAGCATAAAAATGATGTAATTGTACAATAAAAAACTAAGAATACATGTCCATCACGTGGCCTTGTATGGAGTTGGTTGTTCTTTTTAAACGCTTTTGGTCATTTTGCCCAAACATTTTTTTTTTTTTTTTTAACCTTTTGGCTTCGAACGACCTTTGGAAGGTTATTCCACTAACACGTGGTGTACCTATCATACGTTTCTACGATTATCTCATAATAACTCCAGCAACATAACTGAATGAATTTTTACACAACTGTTAAGTCTCCCGACACAATTCAGATACAGTTGTATACTAGTATTACAATTTTCACAATATCATCATACGATATATTTTTTTCAGATTTCTGTATTGAAATCACAGATGGAGAACGACGCCGACACAATTGGGCGATTGGAGAAAGAAAAGTCTTATGTAATGGGTAGTGTCGGGGATTTAAATGCCAAGATTGCTGCTTTAGAATCACAAGTAAGATCTTTACATAAAATACTACCTCGATCAAGGTAAAGAATTATTGCAGAAAGGGTATCATAATTATTGTTTCAAACACAGAACAGTGGTAAGTTTGATACATCTTTTTGTGTATCTGTTTTCGGTGCTTGTATAACATCTACGTCAGATGTGTTTAACCAGTTTACCCGACTACCTTGTAAAAACATACTAACGTCAAAATGCTTGACCCGATATTGCTGATTTTAAGTTTAATTCAGTCTTCTTCTGACTAGTTTGTTAAAGAAAAAACACTGATGTAAAAATATTTGTCCCGATGTTGATATGTTTAATCTGAGCCCATTCCGACTAGTTTAGAAAACAACAACCGTGTGTTTCGACCATGAAAGTGACTTTAAGTCACGAATACAATCCGATAACTAGATGATCAGAATTATTATCAATAAACAGAATACCTTTTATTCAGTTTCTCTCTCTCTCTCTCTCTCTCTCTCTCTCTATCTCTCTTTTATATTTTCTGCAACTTACATAACTTTAAAAAAAAATTCAAAGCAAGCACATAAAACCACAACTGGTCAATATTGCTATCAGTTCACAAATAAAGACATTCGAATAAAGGAATCTAATTTCTTTTAGGTAGGCGCAATGGCACAACAAAAACAGTCATTAGAAGCTTTATTGTCACAAGAAAGATCAAGGGCATTTGGACAAATTCAAGAGATGGAAAAAAGATTTAAAGAGATTCAACATGTTCTGTTTGTTAAGCTAGAAGAAGCAAAAGTTTCAAAGGATTCTTATATACCACTTAAAGCAGAAATTGAAGCAATGAAAATGTTATTAGCAGAAGAAGAAAGAAGGTATAATGTTCAAAAACATGAAATAGAATTTGAGGGATACCTGCAATCATTTAGATATAAAACCATGCCGTATAAATGAATTTACACAAGTGCATCGGAGAAAATACTTACAAAATTCGAAACTCTCTGTTTGCGCGTGTTGGTCTTTTAAAAGAGTTAGAACGAACTCATTATATTAATCATAAGAAATATGACGTTTATGTTTGCAGCATACATGCACTATAAATTTAATTAATCAGGATTTACAAATGTGAATAGATCTTCTTAGAAAAGTCTTCTAGCTACGGATAAATAGCAAATCAACAACCCTGCTGTGTCTCCTGAAAATCTATGATATACTATATTTATAATTCGATAAAACAGATGATTTCAAATTTCCAATTGTAAACTTTCCACTTCTTTGTACCAACATTCAAGCTGGTCTGCTTATGGACTATATATCTCCCAGTTGATACAATATTCCAGAGATTGTGTTTCCTATTATGATGCCTTGGTAATGTTGCTGCTGACGGGGACACTATTGGAGCAAGGGTTCCTAGTGGTAAAGTTGAAGCCATCTCTTCAAAGTTTTACAGTCGCCATCATGACTTGGTAGACAGTTAAGCCATTTCAATTGATATTTTATTGTGTGTCTTTTCGTGTTGTAATGTTATACCACTGTTCCAGGTTAGTGTGAAGGTTGGCGCCTGTTAAAACGTTTAAACCCGCTGCATTTTTATGCACATGTCCCAAGTCATGAGCCTGTTGTTCAGTGGTTGCAGTTTGCTGGTGTGGTTCATAAGTGTTTCTCGTTTCTCGTTTTTTTTTTTATAGATTAGACCGTTGGTATTCTTGTTTGAATTGTTTTACACTAGTCTTTTTGGGGCCCTTCATAGCTTGCTGTTCGGTGTGAGTCAAGTTACCGTGTTGAAGGCCGTACTTTTACCTATAATTGTTTACTTTTTTCACATTGTGACTTGGATGGATAGTTGTCTCATTAGCACTCATACCACATCTTCTTATTTATATGTTGTGCAATATGTGTGTCACTAATGACCACGAATATGACTTGTTCTAATTGTAGCCAAAATTCCTTCCTCTTTTCCCCTCTTACAATTGAATGTTACTTATGATCGACTGAGCTATACGACGGGTGCATCATGTGGAGCGGGATCTGATAACCCTACCAAGACATCTGATAACCCCCCCCCCCCCTTGATTTTTGATGGAGTTCGTGTTTTTCAGTCTTTAGTTCTATGTATGTAGAGTTTTATGTATTGCTTGTCTTTTCGTAGTTTTTGTCGTGGCGTTGTCAGTGTCTCTTTGACTTATTAATTTTAATTTTCCCTTTGGTATCTTCCGCTTCGTTTATAGATTTATCAAGTTTTATTGTATGTTTTCATTTTACATATTTTTTTCCGTTTCAGACTTAGTGCACCAATAAATTATGAAAGCACTGTTTCAGTATCAAATGTGTCCAGTTACATCCCTGCAATGACACGAACGCAAGTAGCTAGTTACACCCCTGCAGTGACGCGTACACAAGCGGTTAGCTACACCCCTGCAGTGACACGTACACAAGCAGCTAGCTACATCCCTGCTGTGACGCGTACTTATGTAGGAACCGGTGGACATAAAACTGCTTATCATCAAGCATCCTACAGGCCTGGTTACTGCAAACGTTATCACACGAAATATAGATGTAAGCTTTATTCTTATTACTAGATATATAGTCGAATCGTTCATTGATTCTTTTTCATGAATAATATAATATATAAACCTTGAAATAGAAACTATATAACCGTCAAATTCAGACTCTGAATTCATTTTTAATGTGATGTCAAAACAGTGACATTTTGAAAGACATTTATTTATGAACCATGTGATACAAATGGACCTTCAAGTCTAGTACAGAAACACATCGTTAGTTACTTTTATTGTATGGTATCTTTGTAAAGCAAAATATTGTCCTATGAAATATTGTACTTTGTATCATGAAATGTTGTCCCTATCTATGAAATATTATCCAGAGAAGGACAAATTTCCATATGAAATTTTGTCCATATACAGACAATATTTCATAGATGAATAGTATGAAATTTTGTCTTGTTAAAGGGACGTTATCAACAGTTACATTTTGTGAATATTTAATAAGACATTATTTCAAAGATGGATTGTCATGAAATTTTGTCTCATAAAGGGAGGTTATAGACATTTAATATTTTGGATAATGATATCATTAAAGTGGTTTTTTTTGTCATGTTGATTGATAATAACAAACAAACCTGCTTAATTAAGTTATACAGCAATTTATGGTTATACATATACTTTTCATGAAAAATATTTTTTTTAAATCCAGAAACAGAGGAATCCTCAGGGAAGACATATTTAGATTAAGAAATATTTTCATGGACAGTATTGCACAGTGAAATATTGTCATGGACATAATTTCACAGTGAAATATTGTCATGGACAGTATTTTATAGTGAAATATTGTCCAGAGGGAGGAGACAAAATTTCATGGACAAGGACACTATTTCATAATGAAATATTGTCCTGGACAGTATTTAATTATGAAATAGTTTTATGTTACATCTTCACCGTGAAGAAGATCAAATGTTCTTTAAAAAAATACAGCAATGGAATACGAATGCTAACCTTTAAACCTTATTCCACACACAAATAATTAATGCATTTAAATTCAATTTTCATAAGATTTTTTGTTCTTTTCACAGATTAAGAAGACTGCATATCAAACAATGAGCAATCGAGTGAACCTTCAACAGCACCAAATTAATTATATCATTGTAGATGAATACATGAACTTCCCACCTTGCAATATAGAGCTGCTTCTTAACAGAATTATATATTCTACTGAATAAAAAAAACAGTTATATAAAAGTAGTAAATATGACAGAAATGAATGTAACCCTGCCAACTATATGTATTTATGTATCTTATGATTAGATGATATAGATGTACTGCCTTAAAAATAATGAATATTCTATTATTCTGTGTTCCCTTTTCTGCCATTAACATTCAAACTTGCATCGCTGATGGTTGCTTGACTGTCAATCTTATATAATATCACTTGCTTAGTAGCTAGTAAATGATTCAAAACGGGTCTGACTATTGATTAGTCGGTTAATATATTATGTTATCATAGAAAGAAAGCCTATAAAGTTTAAACTTCCTAGTCAAAATTGTCCATAGAAGAATTATTTTTGTTTGGATGCTATTGACGCGTCTCAAAACTTCTATCCCGATAACTTGTAAACTTTTGGTCTCGCACTACTGACAGTTATTTCAGAAAACGTTATGTGGATTCTTAAATCAGTATAATGACCAATTAAGTTGCTTTCAAATTGATATTTAGTGTACATTTCTCTAATTTATATCACACCTCAAGTATCGTTCTGCTTTGTCGTTCACCCCGAAACTTTTCTAAAAGGTTCTCCCTTTAAACCACTGATCCAAATAGATTTGGTCCCAAACATTTTTCAGGTATCATAAAAGGAGATTTTAGAAAAAAAAATCTGCAACTCTCTTAACACAAATTAACAAAAATAGATATCTAGAGATACCTAAAATTGATGGTTATATAAACGTATGATATCCATTCAGTGTACACGTCAAATATATCTAGTATAACCTTCATCATGGATACGAGATCAATAGTTTTGAAAGCCAAAAATATGAAAACCTTCAGATAATTTAAACCAACAGGATCTAAACACAGAACCAAAACCGTCTAAGCTAAGGTTTGCCGGAGAAAGTTGACACCATAGCAATAGAAAACAATTCTATAATATCTATGCAGAAAAAATGTTCATGACAGATTAAACCGGTCCCGAAACAATAGCTACTGGTTGGAAGCTACCCTAGGTAATCCTAATCAACCATCAGCGGTATCGACCAAGTAATAGTAATATAAAGCGTATGATCTATGACAAACGGGTCGATTTCAATTTTGAAATTATAAGTTTTCCTCACCTAAGCAGCAATATACCAACTTCTTGCGTATAGAGTATACATTTTTCAACTCATACTCATACGATACTCAAGAGCTAGCAGCTGCTACTCAGATTTTGTAAAACGTCATCGATGTCTGAGCAAAAAAATAACGAGCCACGGTTTTGTTAAAGAACGTCTCGTACTTTTTCTCAAAAAGTTCATCGGACAGTATCAAGAACTAATAGATAAATATTCAGCGTCTACTTCGCAAATAATACAAGATGGTCTTGAGTTATAGATTCTATGTACTGAAGTTGTGTGTCTTTTTGTTTTACTTTAGTTTCGCCTTTATATGTCTACGTGCTATTATGTTTCTTTTAGTCGTATGACTTTTGACGTGACTCGGTGTTTATGCATCCCGCTATCGGCTTTATGACTTTTGACGTGACTCGGTGTTTATGCATCCCGCTATCGGCTTTATGACTTTTGACGTGACTCGGTATGTATGCATCCCGCTATCGGGTTTTTGACTTTTGACGTGACTCGGTGTTTATGCATCCCGCTATCGGCTTTATGACTTTTTTACTTTGGGCATTCCTGGTGCAGGTGGGACCTGTGGTGCGATTGGGACACAAATGTTTTTTACAGTGTTGTTTTTATTTTTGTTTACCCTTGTATTTGTATTTACTTAATTTTAACTTTATCGAGAAAGTGTATACTATATACGGTATGTACTATCAACGACAAAAACTTTTTTAATTGACCGTCATGGTCAAACTTTGGACGCAGTGACATTTTTAACGTGTTGTTTTCATTACAACATTTTTGTTTGCGTCTAGTTAGATAAATTTGTATGTTTGTTTGAATTTTTTTTAATGTCTGTGATGTAAGTTTACACAGTTTTGGCTGCTGGATCCCAATTGTATTGTCACATCAACCTATTATGTCTGTTTGGGTTGTTCACCCAATTTGGTCAATATTCGGTATTTTTGTTATACTTTTTTATGATACTAATTTCAGTACTTGGAACATATAAATAAGATGACAGGTTATGAGCAACAATAGAATATGACATAACTTTATATAATTCAATTGTTTTTATTGATTAACCTTATATGATTACTTATATAGATATAATGCTTTGAAAAATAAAAAGATACCATTCTTCGGTCCCTGTCTAAGCCCCTGTACCGTTGTTGGTGGACTGTCATTCTCCTATAATACCTTTGGCATACGACATAGTATTTGATCAAACCGTGTGTATTGCATGCCGGATAAATTTATCAATATCTTTTTTTCATAAATAAAAAAAACTTTTGATACTTAGGCATGTGTGAAAATTTAATTTACCCTTTAACTTTTATTCTTAAATTAGGTTTTGAATATTGAGCTTCTTTAATAAACAAATCTACAAATAAACATTTCTGAAAGGTTTTAACATACGGAAGAAAACCTATTAAAGCTTAACGATCCAGTGCTTCTTATTATAATTTTTTTTTAAAATGGAGAGGATTTTGTCTTGACATGATATGTTTTGTATTAGTTGTTGATTTTAAATGTTTATATAAATTTTGAAGAACAAGATATCCGATTTCCTGCTTAACTTTTACCAGTGTTATTCTAGGTTGCGTGGTAACAAATCAAAGTATAGCAATAAGTACATAACATGCTGGAATATCCAATCCACTGATATTTATAAACTATAATTGCTGTAAACTTAAACAAAAACATGTCAAATCAGGAAAAAGAAGCATGGCTAGAACAATTGACGGCAGTATGTTCAATTATTGTATATGTCACCTAAGAATAATGTCGGAGAGATCGATTTTCAGGGGAATTATCACATTATTTTGCCATCGAAGAAAACATCTGATCAAACTGAGCTTATTTTATGCCTGATGAATTCATCGATATTTTGTTTTCAAAATAAATTGCTTTTTATACTTAGGTATTAGTAGAAATTAAACTTAACCATTAACGGAAGAGTATGTTTATAAGATAAATCTAAAGTACACAGATACGCCTATCAACAAACAAACCGATGCGTTCATAACAACTGACTGGTTGTGCATCTTATTTATATCAGAAACCCTGAACAGAAAAAATCAAATAAATATGCAAATTTAAAGTTTATTTTTATTTATGGAGTGGAAACCATAGATACAAACTATCCATGCACAAACATTGTAATATCATCAATACACTGATGTTGCTAGTGTAAACTGACATCCATTTCTCCGGGAAAATGAATTATGGCATGTACCAACCAAGGTAAGACTTTTATACCATGGGGCAACGAAATCTACCCGACCATAGGGGATAATTTTAGGAAATATATTTTTCAAGCCTTTAATAACTATTTATGTCATTAAAATATTCCCGTTAACGTTCCGTCAGAAATATAATGTAGGAGATAAATTGTTTTCCGTGATATTTAACGGAAAAAGAAATTGGAACACGGAGAGCCAAATTTACATGCAGTGTTAATACGTTGTATGTTGGATACAGATTAGAAATTGGGATTTGACTGTTAAATAAAACCATTTGACCCATAGTCATAAAGTACACGAGGAAATTGTTTAGCATAGGACAAAGGTCTGGCAACATGCACATATCATACAAAAATCTAAATTAATGAATATTGATCATGAAAACATATTGATTGCGGCTTTTTTTTTTAAATTGCGGTTGCCGGTTATATGGGGCTCTTTTCAGAATTTTATTTTAGACACAAATTGATTCTTTAGCTATACTGAAATGTTCAGGACTTAAAACGAGTTCAGTATTTTTTCTCGTAAGTATTTTAGTGAAACGAGTCGGTGTTCTGTTATTGGTGAGAAAGTTTGTAAATATCCGTTAATTATACGGTACTGATAACCAGTATATAACTATAATTTGATACTAAATTGAATATCTTTCGTTCATAATTTGTTTGAAATCGAAAAGAAAAAGAACTGGAACATTCTTACAACTACAAAATCCAGCAGTAAAAGCAATATAAGATATTCATAGGATTTTATCTTCACGTTCATCCATCCCATACTCGTCGTGTCGTTTGGGTTCTAGAGTATACAAATAATGGGGATGTGGTATGAGGGTCAATGAGACAACTATCCAACAGAGTTCAAATTACTAAGATCTAAGTAATAAAATGCCACCGTACGGCCTCAACAAGGAGAACACACTTTCACTAGTTTTAGATTAAAAGTAATAAAAATTCTACTTTTATATCAAATATAACATCTTAACGTACATATATATACCTATTGGTGCACAAAAAAGTGAAGACTTATTACATATATTTATTTTCATCAATAATATAATACCAATTTCAGTCCGTACTTCATTTATTTTGTTAAATATCCTACATTATTAAATCCGAATTGAAGATTAAAATCGTGATTATTATATGCCAGATATGTGAAAGCTCACCAATAATAAAAATACCGACAATAAGAACTAAAACTCGTGAATGAAACACTTACCCAACAATTCACAGAGATATTTGAATCTATAAATCTTAATTCTCAAAGGATAAAGGAATGACCCCTCTGCTGACGATGTCCCTGACTTGGAACAGGCACAAATCTTTATGATAAACACGTGGAAGGGTTGATCAAGTTTTTTTCACTCAACATTTCGTTTTAAATTCGATAAGTGGAATAACCATAATTACAAACCGACAATGCACTATACTATACATAGTATAATATACGGTATCATAGACAACAAAGACATACAAATAAAACAGTGCTGAATAATACCGTAACAAAGAATAATCACATGGACTGAGAGTAAGCTCAAAGTACAAACCTGGTAAAATAGAAGCAATTTTCAATTGTAAAATAAAGAACTGCTCTTGAAACTTTAAAATCAACAATAAACCGACAATTTCAAAGAGAATGGTATACAGAAAAAAATCAAAAAGAAGCAAAGGTTAATACAATTTCTCAGAACCATTACAACATTAACAGTACCGATTTTTATGCACCAGATGCGCATTTTGACAATTAATTAATGTCTCTTCAGTGATGCTCGAGGACGAAATATTTGAAAATACAAAACCTAATACAAACTTTGGTAGAGCTGATCAAAACAAAAAGGACCTAAAGTATAGCCATATCCAGACAAGGAATCAGATTTTTAAATGAAGTAGATATATACAAACAATGAGCTTGGTGACCAATTACAATCCGCGAGACTACAATACTATAAGTCTCATAACACAACTCGATTCGAATTTGTTAATGACGTCCGGAGTTCTTTAAAAAGTGTCTGATGTCTTCTTCGAGATTGGCTCATGGTAAAATTCAACCATTAACAAAAACAAATTATGGCAAGTTTTAAAAAAATGTTGAAGTTGATAGAGTTGTGATTAAAAGTTCAAACGTTGACTTCCTATCAAGATATATCGCGTAAACCCACTATCAATTTCAAGTTCCAAGATGACTACAATGAATTTTATGCTTTCAAAGAGAAAAACTGTTTTTCAATACATTTTAAATTAGTTACTTTTTTTTTATAAAATTTATTCACTTGATTTTTGGGGACTAGGGTTTACTTTCAACATCGATTAAATGTACAACACTCAAGACTAGTAAATTGTAAAATGATCAGCGATAGGGATTTGTTTTATTACAGAAATTATGATTCATAGGATTATATTTTTGCCTGTAAAAATGAACAAGCTGAAATTCTGAGGTTGATACAACAAACAACAATGAAGAATTAGTTAATTCATAAAAAAAATCTAATGGTACAAAAAAATAAAACAAAAAACAAATACAAATTTTAAGCTACAGAAATTGAATCTTTAAAGAAGTATGATTATTAGGTATATCTGACAGACGTACCGGAAATTTTAACTTAAGGCACAGCAAAATCATCATAGGTACCCAACGATACTCATTCAAGAGGACATCCTTGTTTGTCAAAAATCTGTGTTATGTTTTTTTTGCTTTTTCGGCCAAACATGAAGAACTGTTTTGCTGGGGAGGAAAAAGTTATATAAGCGTGTAAAGCAAACAATGTCATATTACCGGGTCTGCCAGTTGCTTTACGAAACAGCAATCAAAACCCTACCCAGGTTTACAATGGAGGTGATATGAATCATATGTGGATTCTCAAAAGATCTGAAGAGTACGAACAATCTAGGCCCCTCTCCTAAAGCAATAAAATTACACTTGACTTCTCTAACTTTTTGTCTCATGTTTTTAACTAAAGAACAGGTTAAATTTAAAAAAAAAAAATGGTCAAAGAAGATACAGGTATGATAAGTATTCTATTTCTGAAAGAAACAAATGTTACTTGCAAAGGCACTTTGATTTAAGCTAAAGCTTCTTTTAAACTGTAATTTTTTTGACAATATATTTGTAATAAATGTATGTTTAGTTGATGTGTTTTTCATCAGACAGTCGGCATTTGTGTAGGGACCAAATGTGCATTTTTTTCTCGTGAATTCCTTTATTTGTACCAAACAGACTTCCTTCACACCGTCGTTGGTAAGGACTTTTATTCCTCTCTTAGTAAAAATGTGTTCCTGCACTGATATGCGTGTATTTGGCGGTCATCTCAGTTTAAAATGAATTCAATATTTTCATTACAAAGAAAACGGTGAATTATCTAGTCAAAACACACAATTCTAACAGAATTACAAGGATTCTGTTCCAAGTAAGAAACCAGAAAAGTGGCTGTCTTTCATTTTTTTCCCTTTAAAGAATTTGGTGATGAATTAAGATAATTTTTTTAAAAAATGAAAAGAAGGTAGTGTTATCCTTTAGATTAACGATGTATACCCTTTAAATAAACGACAGATACCTTTGACAGAAGGGGGCAAATTAGAACAAAATTTCAAGACAAATGAGATGATTTCAATGTCCCTACTGATAGGTTCCATCGTGGAAAAACTATGACAAGAGTTTCTTAGTTTCTTTCATTTGATTTAGCTTCAAATTTTCACGAAAAGTAAATTATTTTTTTAGAAACATTTTTTATGAGGCTGTTGTATTTTTATTTTATCTTTTCTAAGTTCTTTCAACACGACCTACAGAACATACTATGGCTATCCAGGAAAATCTTTGGCTAAAAGTAATTCTATGTCGAAAAGCTTAAACCCAACTTATAAGCAGAGCAAAATAAACGTTGGTGATTTGTCGAGATCATTGGAACGGTCAGCAACTCATGGACTGGAACGGTCAGCAACTCATGGACTGGAACGATCAGCAACTCAGGGACTACAAAGTTTACAGTACAGCCCGGGAACACCAACAACCAACTACAGACCACAATCTTCATTCGGACGATTGTCCGATAAGGATGAATTACTGAGACTGAATAATAGATTATCTGAATACATCACTAGAGTAAGACAGCTTGGAGAAAGAAATGGACAAACAGATTCTGCTGCTTTCATCCAGTCTATTAAGATACTGGAAGATGAATTGGGAAAACTGAAAGCAATGTATGAATCTGAACTTCAAAATATAAGGTAACATATACTTGAATATGTTAAACATATTTGTTTATAAAATTACTAAATAAAAAAGTTAACGAAGAAGGAGTATGTAAAATTTACTGATTGATTGTTTTGGAACACAGTTTCCTTCTGTCTATTTACAAAATACAGTAAATATCACATTTTATGACCTGCTAAAACTTCGACGGCTGTTTGATCCGGTTTGACTCTGTACCTGTCAATTCAATACATAGAAATGGATAATTTGTGTCAAGTAATACCCACCAGATGGTGTTTTTTTATTATCGTTGTGTTGCTGTTTCAATGACGATAACTGCGAATCTACTTTTATTCATATACTAAAAAAAAGTTTATACCCAATGGGGATACCAAACAATTGGTTTAGGTATCGGTCATCACTAAATATTTCTTCAGATAGAATTTTCTCATACTCTGCCAAAATGTAGATTTTATCATTTTTTTTCAAAAATATAATAAAAAGTAAAGGTCACCGTGCCTATTTTTCAAACATTTTTCTTGTGAATAAAAACAGAAATCTATGGGATAGGTTTTACAATGTTCTTTTAAGAAAATAGAAATAAAAAATTGTGTCACCGAACTTGTGTTCTTGCTACAAGTAAAACATGAACATTTCATGAACATTCATTTATATTATTTTTTTATTGAAAGATGTATCTCTCCTTACAAGGCTAAGTTGAAAAATTGAATCAAACATAACAAATATTTGGTATTTGTTAAAACAGTCTAAATAATGCAATACATTACTTATTTTTCTTAATTTGAATAAAGTCTTACACATTAATTGCCAATCTGTCTCAAAATTTGCAAATTTCAGCAAAGAACTAGACCGATTGTGTACTGCTATTTTACAATCTAAGGTGGCGGTATATTGTTAACATACCTTAAATAATATTTCTATCGTATAACTTTTCTAAATTTCATTTAGATGCACAAAACTATTCAACAAAGCAAGTTCCATCTTTCTGTTAAAATCGAGTTTGAAAGTTCTGAAAAGTAAAAGACATTAAAACCTGTCTTATCCCGATGTAACATGTTTTTGGAATAACATGTGTCAAATCCAGCCAAAATATATGAAAATAAGATGTACATGTTGTCGTATGATTGCCAATGAGACAACTCTCCACCATGGACTAAATGACTGTATATATGTCACTAATTAAAAAGCCGTCGAATGGAATGCAATCCTTGCCTGGGGGAAGTTGCAACCTTAGTTTAAATACAATTCTATATTTGTGAACTGGAATTTTAAGACAAAATGAATTATTTTAATCCTGTCAGAAGAAAAGCACCGTGCACTTTGCAGATTGCGTTCTCGTGGACTTATAGTTCACTAAACAACGGTACCTACCCAGTGGTAGTACAAAACGCATAAGACCGAAATCCATGCGAAATACATGTGTTTCTATACGATACGAACATATTTTGAGATTACACCCAGAGGGCTTAAAATAATCAACACACTTCTTAAGCAAAGCATACATACGTACACACTCGCACAAAAAAAAAAAAAAACAAAGATGTGGTCTACTTTTAAATTTAGTCTAAAGTCGTTCTACAGTCTACTAAATCGTTCTGTTGCATTGACTAATCAAAAGTTATATATCTAAAATGTTTAGAATGTTTGTATATTCTATTCAATTCTCTACAATGATTATGAACCGTGGAAAATGTTTATTTTCACTAGAAACATCATAAAATATTTGTCAAATTCAAAATTCGTGTGACTTCTTGGTAAGAAATTTTCGTTTCTAGAATGTCTTGATAATATAGTTGAATATGTTTTCAAAAACTGAAAAGATGCTGACAACTAATCATTTTGTTGCAACTGCAAGCGCCAAATCTGGATGAAATAATAAGACAAAATACTCCAGTATCTCTGAAAATTAATACTACGCTTAAAGCTAACAATTTTGTTCATTTGAATGTCATTCTATCAAATGGAAAATATCAAATCGTTTACAGTTTCAAACTATATTTTTATCTCCCAATAAATCAAAGTACTAAGATTTAAAGCATTTAAAATGACACAGAAAATTCAAAAAACAAAATTCGTGTAACTATAAATTTCCAATTTCTTCATTAAAAGTTGACCTTTAAATAGATGGATTTGTATATTTCTTGCAAACCTCTTTTGATCATCACGTGTTTATGTATAGTTGTTCATCCTTGGCTTTTAATATTTTAGGTATGAGTGTTCCAATTGAAGTAAACCCATTAAAGCGCTTTAGACGTAACGAATCTATTAATAAGAGTTATTCTCACTTTTCTAGCACTCGGTCTATATCATTGCTGTTGTACTGTTAGTCCCCGCAGAAAGTATTATCAAAACAGTAGTCGGTGCTTCGGTAGTGACAAGATCTATAACATGTTTTTGTAATTATTATAAATTCTCCATTGCTAAATTGAGGAATTATTAAAAAAACTAAGGTTCCAACTCCCTATGGCAAATCTAACCTTAAATGGATTTGGATATTCTTTTTGGCACCTCTTGATCATATACTGGTATTTCTTCAATTGTTAAGTTAATTATATATCCTCGACCCTCAATATTTTGGGTATGAACGTCTCCAATGATAGTAAATCCAGCGCTTCTGACACAACAAAAAGTTTTACGTTCTTTGAAAGTTCCCTTGTATTAATATACAAAAAGGTTAATCAAATGATGTGATTTTGCTTTCTTCAGTCCATGTAGCCCAGTAAACAGAAAAGATTTATTGAGTTATTCCGCCTTCTTAATGGTATTTATATTTAACTTACAAGTTTATACGATTTCATAATGTTTGATATTCGTTGTTCGCTGTGAAGAAAATGATTTTTTTAAGGCAAACAAACTCTCTATTAAGACGATTAGGAGGCAGAATATAACAGATTATATGCAATAGGGAGACCATGTCAATATACAAGCGATATATACTAGTTTGATTTTTTGCAGACGACAGCTTCAAGATACTGTTTCTGAAAAGAACAAATATCAACAACAAAATGGTAGCTATTTACAAGCTATAAAGGATTTGGAAAACAGGTAATGTTTTATTTTAATAGAAAATCATTGGCATAAAAAAAAGGTCAAATGCAAATCTTAAATAAGCTAGAGTCATTAAATCCACTACCTCCTACGAAAATCAAATTGATTTTGCTTGAAAATTCAAGCTGCGACATTAAACTCAGAGTTATCTCTCTTTATTCACTTTCTGAACTTAAAATAAAATTGAGAATGGAAATGGGGAATGTGTCAAAGAGACAACAACCCGACCATAGAGCAGACAACAGCCGAAGGCCACCAATGGGTCTTCAATGCAGCGAGAAACTCCCGCACCCGGAGTCGTTTATACTCATATGGTAAATAACTGTTTTGTATGTTCTAATGTACTGTATCTAATTAACATAATCAGAGCGAGCGGAGTGAGAAAGATTGGTATGAAAGTGTGAATGATCGTGTTAAATTTTGTAATGCCTGAAAGGGCCCTGTGATTAGGAAAGAAAGAATTTGAATTTGAATTTTGAATTTGAATTTGAATTTCTAAGATTCAGTGATACATGTAAAAGATTTCATAATTAAATCAATTTAGTAAATGTTTCTAAACAGGGATCTATTCATATCCAGTGTACTTTGTGTTTATTTGTTGTAATTCATTAACGTTTCTGTATTAGGCTGACACAAGAAATAAATAAGAACAACGAACTAGTCAATAGTATCAATAATTATCAACTGAAGATAAGTTGTCTAGAGCAAGAACTCACGAAAGTAAAGTCAGCACCAAAACCTGTCGACGAGAGTCCCACGCTAAGAAAACAAGTAGCAGATTTCTCCAGAGAAAGAGAAGATTTCAAAGGAAGGTAAACAATAATTCCATTCTATTTTAATGGGGGAATAGACAAGCTAAGCTCAAAATAATACACCATGTTACAGCATAGTTTTACTAAGTCCATCAGTTTTTGTTTAGTTTAAACATGGAAGTATTATACTTCCATGGTTTAAACATGGAAGTATTATACTTCCATGGTTTAAACATGTTTTAATTCGTTCACAGCAAATAGGATCAGATACAAATAAAACATACTAATAAAGTCTTCATCCCAATACAACATATATAACAATACGAACTGAATGTAAACAAGCATTATATAATATAAATAACATAAATATTACTAAACTATACTGAAAAAGGAAAGGGGACAAAGAAAGAACGACAGAGATTAGGATGACGATGTGCGTTTTACCTATGTTGATATTATAACACCAAGGATCTCTTCATAAATTTTAAGACTTGTTTAACAATTTGCACATTTTGATCGTAGGAAAGGGTATCTTTTCCAAAAACCAATAGTTTTATGTCAAAATTGCAACCTTCAGGAAGCCAGCTGAGACCATTAAACAGAATAGCCCTTTCATTCAAATACAAAGGACAATAAAAAAAGATTTAAACTTAAACAAAATGAGTTCTTCTTTTTGTGATAAGGAAAAATGAAATGGACGAATTTAGGTCTTCGACTAGGCAAAGCGTCTCATATTTGTTATACATAATCACTGCATATTAAAGATAATTTCAAGTCATATTAAGCATATTGCAAACGAGAGCTTTAATTGAACAGCATAAGAAAAGTCGGTTTTCAGTTTTGTGTTCTTTGTCCTTTGTCTTAAGGTCACATCACAGTTATTTCAAATTCCTTTTCATTTTAACGTTGAAGATGGGAGAAAGAGGTGCAAATCAGAAAAGATATTGAGGAAAAATTTGCTGCCTATTCCAAGAAAGCAGAATTTGACAATAACATTCTAAGACAGCAATTGAATGATTTAAAACAACGTTTAGATACATCAACAACTACTATAGTGAATCTGGAGACTAAAATCCGAGAGCAGAACAAATCGGACACAGATATACCCCAGTTACTGAGACAAGTAAGACAAGCAGCAGAAGAAGATATGAGGAAGCACCAGGCTGAGACTGAGAGGAAACACAATGACAGCGTAATACACATATTATAAGTCTTTTCAATCTAACAAATAAAAAAAAAAATGTTAATCAAAATAATTTTACAAATGTATATTTAAAATTTGTCAATGGGGCCTCGATGGCCGAGTGGTCTAAGTAGTTACTACTGTAATCACTAGCCAGTCAACACTGAGGTTGTGAGTTCGAACCCCAGTCGTGCGGGTGCACTCGACTCCACTCTTAATTGACTAGGATTGTCAGTTTTCCTATCGAAGGTCGGTGGTTTTCTCCGGGCACTCCGGCTTCCTCCACCAATAAAAATTGGCCGCCACGAAATAGTCCAAAAGCGGTGCTTAAAAGTGGCGTTAAAACACCAAAAAACAAAATCAATCAAATCAATGGGATAGTTCTTTATTCAATGTGCGTTTTGCTATTATTTTTCAGTATATATGATACTGGTTCTTATAATCTACGTTTATCTTAATTTTGTTTCAATAAGTTTCTAATTATTTTATTTTTTCAGATCTCTGCTTTAAGAGTCAAAATGGAGAGTGATTCCGCTGCTTTAGCGAGACTAGAAAAGGAGAAGGCTGGAATTTTTGGAAATTTCGGTGACTTAAAAGCTAAAATTGCCAACCTTGAAGCACAAGTATATATGTTCATATTAAATATGATGTTAAAAATCATTGAAAAATGTACAAAATGAACTGAATATTTCAATCTTCCAACAATCATGTAGTTGCATATTTGATATGACTATAATTCGTGCTAAAAGATTTCTGATATACACGTTTCAATTTTCAACAAAACTTGCTGGTATCCCATTGAACACTTGCAGCTATATCAACAAGCATACATTTTACATACACGAAGGAGAATGGAATAACAAGTATAACAACATATGAAGTTGCTGTTTTTATCTCTTCTGTACATTTTATGAACTTTAACATCACAATTTCGTTAAAATTTTCACAAACATTAACCTTCGTATTCAAGATTGTAACAAACAATAACAATTTCCATTACAAAAATAAAAGGGTTGTCCAATGTAAACTTTATTCACTGCATATTACAGATTCTTTATAGATGACAAACAAATAAATGTACTTTTTACAATTAATAAACAGCAAATTGCCTGTAAATTACTTCGTTATATTTAATGAATTATTTTAGGTAAGCTCTTTATCACAAGAAAAAATTTCGTTGGGAGATCTTATTGCACAAGAAAGGTTAATGGCCGCTGCTCAGCTTCGTGAAATGGAGAAAAGATTGCAAGACATGCAAAATGCTGTGTTTGCAAAACTGCAAGAATTGAATGTATCCAAGGAATCGTACATACCACTTAAAGCAGAAATTGAAGCCATGAAGATACTACTGTCAGAGGAGGAAAAGAGGTATCTATATTTACATAATGTAAAAAGTAAAATAACAAAAATACCGAACTCCAAGGGAAATTCAAAACGAATGGAAAACAACTGTCATGTTCCTGACTTGGTACAGGCATTTCCTTATGTAGAAAATGGTGGATTAAACCTGGTTTTATAGCTAGCTAAACATCTCACTTGTATGACAGTCGCATAGAATTCCATTATACTGACAACAATGTGTGAGCAAAACAAACAGACGTAGAAGGTAAAAATGTCAAAATTGGAGTACAGCAGTCAAGATTGTAATATAATCTTAATCACTATAAAAGACCTATGCATTCAACAGTATCAAAAATCGAAATATTTGTTACAAACGAACTTTTTTCATTGTTTGTTTAGACGTGATTTGTTCGCCGATTTAATATATACAAAACAATGTTGTAAATTACAATTTTAACGTGACAAATGATGTTTCCAGCATTTTATCATCACAAACTATGGTGATATTTCTCTTTTTGTATCTGTACAGATAATTTTATTAAAATATGCAAATGAAGTTTGTCCGTACTATTTATCAATCGACTTTAAAATAAAGTTTTATTAGTTGTTTTATGTGCATTGCATAATTAGATTGCGTTTTTGAGAACAATTTTGAAGTTATAGTATTAAATCTAACAAGAAGCTTGACATTCCTTGGTTTCTTTTTGACGTGACGATGTGCTTAAAAACTGGTTGTATTTTTGTGCCCTTCTTATTGTTATGTATTGATTGTTTTGTCTCTGCTCTGAGAATAAGGAAACATAATACTTATTTGATAGTTGAACCATCTTGCAATGTATTTTTGAAGTGCCTGTTAAGGGGCTTTGCTGAGTAATCAACATTGTCTTGTTGTGTTGCTTGTCTGTTTTAGGAATGTCATATTCATTTTCTAAATCTACTGTGGTTTTGAATACTTGGGATAATTTACGGTTTGTGCAATTTGATGTTTTAACTCCTTTCCAACATTGATATTGTTATTTAACTAGCCTGGCAAATTTCCAAACAAAAAACGTAAAACATTTTTCTGATGTTGTCTTTAGATTGAGAACACCTGTAAACCGGAACCAAGTATCAACACCATATGGAAAGGTAAGTGTATATTGAAAAGTAAAGTTTGCGTGTATTTCTGTAAATACAGTTGTGATCAGTTTATACCTCTCTATAACTGTCAGAATAATCTGTCATAGACCTGTTATAAGCAGCAGATCTACACTAGAACATTCTACCCTGTCCTCCTGACAGATTTTAAGTGAGGTTACAACTGATCCCAACTGTAACAGTAACACGCATATAGAAGATTCTGTGTTTAATTTATATAAATATACCTCTAAACATTTCTGTTATACAAAATTTCCTGTGCACTATACAAATCTGTATGCAAGTCGTGTATATAAAAGAAGATGTGGGATATCCGTCAATGAGACAGCAATCCAACGACCAAATAATCAAAAGATACCTAGAGGTCAACAGAGAGTCGACATTTCTGCTCTTTGGTCGGGTTGTTGTTTCTTTGACAAATTTCCTGTTTCCATTCTCAATCTTATTTGTTATATAAAAGATAAGGTTATCAGAACCAAAAAGAGCATGCATACCACGTATTTTAGTATCAAAAGGTTCATAGACTTTTTCAACTGAACCAGATTATGAAGTTAATCAAGACTCAAAACGAATCGATTCATATAAACGGACATTAAAAAAAAAAACGATTAACTGACTTTATGTTTCACTAGAAGATACCGTGTTTGTACCTGCTTTGCAACTTCTGTTTTGAATAATGTTGATGGAAAATTGTAAGCGTTACAGATGACACAAACTAGGTTTCTGATATAGTATTCAGTGACAGAAATAACTAAGTTCAACACATGGGAAATCTAAACTAATTTAAAATCTGTCAAAAATGGCCATTGAATATCTTCAAGCTGTGCAAAGTTTGAATAATAATGTTGAAAGAAAACTGTTGAATATGGCTCAAACTATTCAGATGTTTCAAAGACGGAAGCACGGATAGGACGGACGAAGTCAAGCAGTTACTAGACATCTGGCCTTTGATAAAAACAGTAAAATGTGTAGAAAAGACATCCATCAGTTAAGATCTAACTTTTTCAGTTTCAAGTGTGCCTACTTTAATAACAGATTTGTGAAAGGAATAGTTTGTAAAAACTAGATATAAAGGTTTCTTTTTCATTACACAGTTGACTTCTTAACCAGACGTAAATAATTCATACTCTGAAACTACTGGGTTGAATATGTTTTCATGACTTATACGGTATTGCTCATTGTTGAGTGTCGCACGATAACCTATAGTTGTTTACCTCTTAGTCCTTTGGTCTAAGGATATTTGTCTCATCGGTACTCATACAACATCTCCGTACTTTTATATTGACAGTAATGAGTGGATCCTATTTAATTTTGTTTGCAATAAATTCTTCTATTCAATCAAGGTTAGTGACACATGCACATGTTGACCCCTGAATGAAATTCTAATGAGAAACATAAGGCTGGCACATAAATATTAAATGCTGATTATTTCGACATATATGAAAATAAGGAGATGTGGTATGATTGCCAATGAGACAACTATCCACCAAACTTCAAATGTAGTGGATGCAAGAAATTATAGGCTACTGTAGGGCCTTCAACAATGAGAAAAGTATAGTCGGCTATAAAAGACCCCGACATGAAAAATATGAAACTATTCAATTGAGAAAACTAACGGCCTAATTTAATAAAATAATTGACGAAAAACAAATATGACAGACATGAACCAACGACAATCAGTTGAAAAGGGCTTAATTCATCAGATCGATACATAGCAGAAAAAATCTAACAAAACATAGACCGGACGTGGCAGGGTATTTATACACCCATAACAACAAAAAAGACACAAAATACAAATCTGAGAGTACTCGAAGTTACTGACAGCTAGTTCAAAGACAATAACAACTAATAAAAAAAATCATGTATCTAAGATTAAAATATCAATCAGTACAATGGCTGCATAACGATAACTTTCTTTGTTTTGTAGAGAAAGTATTGAAAGGAAAGAAAAAAAGGAACTGTCATGCTCTACAATGTAGTGACGTCTTTGAACAATAATTAGAATAGTCTGTTGTTTTCTATAGAATATTATGTGCTGCCTTTTATGTAAAACAATGGAGGTATTATGAAACGGATAGTATGGACATTGTGGATGATTGTACGTTAACACCACAGACCATGAAGTATATTTTGACCGATATTGACGTGCACCGTTAGGTGCTAGGTTTTTTCATTATTTCTTTTCATTCTATATTTTTTATATCTTTTTATTTACTGATTGATTAACTGTTTATTTATTTCAAACTATTTACATAATAAACTTTCATTTTCAAAGCAAGTGTTAATGGTCGAGAAATATTTATCATTATAAAAAATAGGTGGTGGTATGATTGTCAAAGAGACACTTATCCACCAAATTACGTGGATGTAAGCATCTATAGGTCACCGCATGGCCTTTATCAACGAGCAAAACATATATAAATATATATTATAAAGAAGTCTAAATTGAAAACAACGTTCAAACCTATGATTGCGTTGGATAAAAACCGCAATTTTTATACGTGTGCATGCAAAACAAATTTCTTGTTAGAGGGGTCTAAATACAGCACAAACAACATTTTCCAAAAGACCAAAAAGTGAAAAAGTATATTTTAACAAAACGCATTTGACTAACAAGTCGAACAACAAATGTTCTTAAATCCTGCTGAATGCCATTGGCGATTGCCAAATAAACGGATCACAAGGTGTAATACATGGATCTTAACTATAAATTTAATACCAAACAGAAAACAATAAACTTGCGGCAAAGATGGTATACCGCAAACAAAGGTGCAAAGATTTTTTGTACACCATATCCGGATTTCGACAATTAGTGTCTCTTCAGTGATTTTAGGAATCGAAACGGTTATTGGAAGGCCACATAATTTACCTCAATTTAGGATAGACTCTTGAATATTATATATACAGTATAGTCGGAAAGTGAGAAAATACTGTGTTATTGAACAAAAGGGTCAAATCATTTTGCGGAATATGATAACGAAATGCCACCAACTAATTCGAAGATGAATATTCAGTATTCAAATATCTTTGAAAGAATTCACACGTTTTAATTAGACCATGTCAATGTTTTAATTCTTATTTAAAAATATAAACAATCTGATTAAATATCGTTTTTTTTTTTTATTTTTGGGGGTACCAATTTCATTACACCTGCATGATTTGCAATGAATGGTTTCTTTGGTCTAACAGTACTTTCTAATTATATTTATCAAATTTGAAATAGGAAAACTGGTGTACAAATATATATTGCATTTATATGCATAAAAAAATCACCATGTATATGCATTTGGTATTTTATTTTAATTTATGAATTGTCATGTATTTCAGAGTAATCAAGTGACTTTGCACATTTGAATTTTAATAAGTCGAATATGTTTTCTTATATATATTATTCGTAATTTGTTTTACAAAATATTTACAAAGAAGCTCTCTGAAATACAATTACAAATGTTGTGGATTACAAAAGCGCAAAAACTAAAGAGAAGGGTCAATAATAAAAATACATGAAGTAGCATTAATTTGCTGACAGTATATATGGTTTATACGAGTAATGATTTTACATTAGCTGAAGTTTCTTTCTCTCATTTTTAAAATACATTATTATTTTATTGATAACATTAACGATACCCATTCTGCACCCGAATATAATTTGCTTGTCCATTGATCAAGATATTGAGATGGAGGGATTCATGTTATTCAAAAGAATGTTTATATGAAATTCACATTGTAATAAATCAATGCCGAAATATTGATACTTCGGCGAATGGTTCACATGGAGATAGAGTGTCTTGCTTGGAATAAACCCATCATAGATGCCATGCTTCACATGGAGATAGAGTGTCTTGCTTTGAATAAACCCATCATAGATGCCATGCTTCACATGGAGATAGAGTGTCTTGCTTTGAATAAACCCATCATAGACGCCATGCTTCAAATTCTGTACGGCAAACGCGCGTTTCTTCTATACAAAAGACTCATCAGTGACGCTCGAATAAAAAAAAATAGTTAAAAAGGCCAAATAAAGTTCGAAGTTGAAGAGCATTGACGACCAAAAATTTTGCCAAATACAGCTAAGGTTTTGTGAAACGAGGTCATATACATATACATGTATATTGCGTGTATATTTGTTAGACGGTGTTCAGTTTCAAACCTTTCAAGTTAAAAGTTGGTTAATTAATCATATTATTTATAACATCACGATATTTTTTTTTATCATAGAGGCAAAATATTGAGCAAAAAAAAGAAATCTTTGCAAAAGACAGAAAAATATCGTAAACAGTTTAAAGAAGAAAACTGAAAAATAATTCATTACCATGGCCTTTGAATATATACAAGTGTCACGAGTTTGATATCTTGAAAATGTTCTTTTACTGAAATCTCATCTGAAATGATTTTTTTTTTAAAGTTATTTGGCAAAGAGAACGAATAAATGTCTAATATGCCATTGCCTTTTTTCTTTTTTGTCCAACATACTGAATTCTATTATTTTGCAATTTGAATTATCTGAATGCTGAAAGCAAACACAACAGACAGTTTAACATGCAAATATGTACATTGGAAATTTCCCGGAGATCTATAAACATATTCCTAACATAGCAATTGGAAGTGCAGTCCAGTATTAATCTCTGCTGAATAAGAATAACAAATATTATCATCAAATGTTTTAGGGCAAAAAGTGTGAAAGGTCATAGATTCCAAAATTTTCATTTAGAGATATATTAAAAGAAAAACCAAACATACATCAAGAACATTTGTATAAATTGCAAAATTTATTACTAACTACTATGGGATTATCAGTACATTTATATGGTTTATTTGTGTATTTCTCTGTCCTGAATGTTCTTGCATTTATTTGTACTGTATTCCTGTCATGTAATGGTGTCATTTTAGTGTTATACTTAACATTGCCATACAAGTGCGAGGTTTGGCTAGCCACAAAACCAGGTTCAACCCACCATTTTTTTTCTTAAAATGTCCTGTACCAAGTCAGGAAAATGGCAGTTGTTATCTTATAGTTCGTTTCTGTGTGTGTTGCATTGTCGTTTGTTTTTTGTTCACTTCAGTGTTTCTGTTGTTTCGTTGTTTTCCTCTTATAGTTGATGTGTTTCCCTCGATTTTAGTTTGTAACCCGGATTTGTTTTTGTCTCAATCGATTTATGACTTTCGAACAGCAGTATACTACTGTTGCCTTTATTTATATCATCTTATTTGAGTAAACTGAACATACCAGATATTTATAATAAGAATGGTTCAAGGCAAAAGTGTTGTAGAAATTGAAAGCGTATAAAGGAACTACCACTTTAGCTAAGATCATAATCTTACCTAAGTACAGAAAAATGCTATATTAACTTATAAATTCATTTTGAGCTATTAAATCAAACGGTGTAAAATGAATCGATAAAAACGTTTCAGATTAACTTTCCTCGTAAGAGTTTTGTAAAAGAAACAACTTAAAAAGCAAGACTTATCAAACTAGAATTTAATCATATATATGCAATCAAAGCCAGGTCAGTACCGAAACACTTGATAGAGTCAACTGGGAATGGCATAACAAATTTCATCCATTTACCTTCATCAGAAACAGTTGGGATAGGGAGGTGTAAAAGCTGTCTTAGTTAAAATGTCTTTGTTTTGTTCACACATTGTTGTAATATAATGGAATTTTATGCGACTGTCATACAAGTGAGAGGTTTAGCTAGCTATAAATCCAGGTTAAATCCGCCATTTTCTACACAAGGAAAAGCCTCTACCAGATCAGGAATATGACAGTTGTTTTCCATTCTTTTAATGTGCTTGAACTTTTGATTTTGCCATTTGATAAGGGACTATCCGTATTGAATTTTCCTTGGAGTTCGGTATTTTTGTTATTTTACTTTTTAAAACACAAGAAACTACCGCAACACTGCACAAGCAATGCACATATTCCGGATGGCGCACATGTAATCAGTATATAACAGTTTAATACTATGGCACTTCTTTTCTGTTCGCTGAACTCGCATGATAAATAAACAATATTTTGGCAGGTTGGTCCGTCCTCAAAGTCAAACAAATACACTCGAAACATTCAGAGTAAATAAATGACAAGTTGCATGTTTGTTTTTACTTCGTGCCTGACGTCGTATTATTTCTGTAAACTTTTACCACTTTTGCCACTTTCGTCATTTTCTATTAAACAACTAATTAAATTTAGACATAGCTTTTCAGAAATCATGCATTAAAGCATTCCTATATATATTTGTTTCTAATTCTGTTTGGTTCTGATCGAATGAAAACATGACTGTGTTTTTTAATTGAAACAAAAATTCTCGAAGTCTTGAAATTTCAGGTTAATCTCATCATAGATACCAAGATTAAAATTTTGTACGTCAGACGCACGTTTTGTCTTCAAAAGAATCACCAATGACTCTCGAATCAAAAAAGATAAAAAGGCCATTTAAATTAGGAAGTTGGAGAGCATTGAGGACACAAAATTCCGAAAGGTTTTGCCAAAAACAGCTAAGGTAATCTCTTCCTAGGGTAAACAATCGTTAGTACTTCGAAAAAGTACAAAATTTTCAAACAGTTACCTTATAATTATGACCATATCAATGATAAGTCATGTCAACACAGAAGTGCTGACTACTGATATTGGTGAAACAAAGTAATTGGAAACTTATTTTGTCAGATGTTGTCTTCTTTGTAAACTTGTCAGAAGAGTGATTCAGGCTCCTAGGAACGTCACGTTGTTTCCATATTTTTATATCCTTGAACCCAAATTAGATAACATAATTCAGACGGTCATAAATAACACAGAGACCACGATATTGTTGTAACGACTTTGCACTGATTGTTGTTAAAATAATGTACAGTTTTAAAATAAGCATAAATTCGGTTATAAATATCTTATTTCTAAGACAAATGACTTGTTATTAACTTGTCTTTGGAAGAAGGAGGCCGTATATAAGACGTGTGATAGACTTACAAAATATAATACTATACAACGTTCCTGTATTCGTTATACAACGTCGTTGTACCAATTGCATCGTTTATTTGTCAATCACAAAACTGTTAAATTAGAGATATGATAATGGAATACATTTGGAAGCTCATAAACATCACTGCCTTATTACACCAAGGATTTTCTACGCAACGAGTAGATTACCTTAGCTGTATTTGGCAAAACCTTTCGGAATTTTGGGTCCTCAATGCTCTTCAATTTCGTACTTTATTTTGCCTTTTTAAATTTTTGATTCGAGCGCTACGATGATGAATAAAGGCAACAGTAGTATACCGCTGTTCA